CCTCTTTAAAGACCCTGTCTCAAATACAGTCACATTCTGAGGTACTAGGTAGGGGTTAAGACTTCCACATCTGAATTTGGAAGGGGATACAATTCAGCCCATAACACTTCCTATTCCCCAATGCTGACACCTTTGAGAAAGGGGAGTGCTCTATCTGCTGGGGTTGCTGAGAAGGTCTGATATACTGCTGGGACTGTTGGTGGCCACTTTCCCACCCCAAGGAGACAGTGTCTGAAAATGACTCAGGGAAGAGCTGAGAGGCGGAGAGAGACCCCTGAGCCCAGACATACCTGAAACTGGCTGTACCTCTGACCTCTCTATTCCAGTTGTGTAAGCTCAGAAGTTTCCTTTTCGTTTGTTTATTTTATTAATGTAATTAAAAGAGTTAGTTAAAGTAAGGAGCTTTTACACCAGAATGGCCCATATCTCCAGGATGTGCAGGATGTGCCCGCTCGGCAGCTGTTTAAGCATCAGAGTCAAATGCAAACCTCTCAGGCTCCAGGGTGCTGGCCCCGACCCATCCCTTGGGATGCTCACATGTTCACAGCACAATGGGGACTGGGTCGTGCCCGAGTCTCCCACAGAGCAGACTTCGGGGCCACCCCCTGCAACATTCCAGAATTGCTGCTCTGGTGGTGGCGCCCCAAACAGACTGAGGGCTCCTATCCTTTCAGCCCAGTGACCCAAAGCCCTGCAGCAGTGCCTGGCTCATGACGGGCTTCAGTACAGAGCACAAGGAAGGCAGAGAACCGGGCAAGACAACAGTCCTCCTTCCCTCCAACAGTTCCCTGAAGGACAGTCTGTAAGAACACAGGATGGGAAACAATTCAAACGTCCTTGGGGTGTGGACTGGCCAGGTACCTCACAGGACAGCCCAACAGGATTTTGTCTTTTAACCCAAAACAAGGTAACACCTGCTCTCTGATACATGGAATGATTCAGACCATCTCAGAGGGAAACTGCAAACCGAGAAAGCAACACCGGGACAACAACATATACCATTTGTATAAAACCAGGAGGGGAGCTTCTCACTGAAATGTATCTAAATGACCTCAAAAACCTCAAAAAACTGTCCTACACCATAACCACCAGCCACACATGACAATTTAAATTAAGATTAAACAAAAATTTTTTTTATTGAAGTATAGTTGATTTACTAAGTTGTGCCAATCTCTGCTGTAGAGCAAAGTGACACAGTTATACACATGCATACACTCATTTTTATATTCTTTTCCATTATGGTTTATCACAGGATATTGAATATAGTTCCCTGTGCTACACATTAGGACCTTGCCGCTTATCCATTCTAAATTAAACAAAAATTTTAAATTCAGTTTGTCAGTTGCACTAGCCATGTTTCAGGGGCTTGGTAGCCCCACATGGCTAGTAGTGGCTGCTCGATTAGCAGAGAGATAGAATATTTCCATCATCACAGAAAGTTCTATTGGAAAGGGCTGCTCAGAAGGACATCAGCAAATGGGTAAAGGGCCCCTGGAAAGAGGAGCAGGAGAACCGGGGGAGAGGAGGGGAGGGGAATTAGTTTTCACATGTAATCTTTTGTAGGACTTGAATCTTTCATCACATATTATTTCCTATTCAAAAATAAACATTTAAAAACTTTAAACACATTTTAAAACAATAAGTACATAAGTAACATAAGAAAAGAAGACGTTGGAATCCCCAGGTACACGGGTAAGCCACATGAATCTACAGCCTCTGAGTTCTCCGCTGAAGGAACAGAAGTCTCTTTTGAGGCAGGTGTATGAGGAAGAGCCGCATGAGGGGGCTCCCAGGTGGCAGCCCCACACACCTGATTCAGACCTGGTGGTGTAGGAAGTTCCTATGTCCCCCACATTTTGATTATCTCAGCAACCTTATAATTAGGGTGATTAACGGTCCCATTTATTTTAGTTTCCTAAGGCTGCCACAACAAATGACCACAAACTAGGTGACTTAACATGACAGAAACCTATTGTCTCACAATTCTGGAGGCCAGAAGTCCAAAACCAAGGTGTTGGCAGGGCTGGTTCCTTCTGAAAGCTCTTAAGGAGAATCCCTTCCACGCCCCTGTCCAGCTTCTGTGGCTGCCGGCAATCCCGGGTGTTCTTAGGTTTGTAGATGCATCACTCTGGCCTCTGCCTCCGTCTTCCCATGGCCTTCTCCTCTGGGTGTTTCTGTGTCTCAAATCTCTTACCTCTGACTCTTATAAGGACACTCATCATTGGATTTAGGGCCTACCCTAAACCCTGGATGATCTCATCTCAAGATCCTTAAATTAATTATGTCTGCAAAGACCCTATTTCCACATAAGGCCACATTTACAAATACCAGGGGTTAGGACTGGGACATATCTTTTGGGAGGGGGGACACAATTCAACTCACTATACCGTTTTATAGACAAGGAGTTCAAGGTTCAAGGGCCTCTCACTTGCCTGAGGTCACAGGGCTAGTTCAGAGCACAGCTCTGCCAGTCCTCCCACCACTGACTCCAGCAAGAGAAGAATCTTGACCTTCCAGCCGGAAGCCTGCCCCTCCCATCAGCCTCAGAGCTCCCCGAGCACCCACTTCACAATGGGTAACACACACAGAAGAGCCGCCCCCTTCTCTGGCCTCGCTTATCTGTCTTGCTGCATCCTAGGATCTGACAAAAGATTACACTGTCCTCTGGGCCGTGGGAAGGAACTGGGCTAGGGGGATCTGCGGGTATCTCAGATGAGATGGGGTATCTCAAATGAGGGTGGTCTGCATGTCCAGACTCCAAAAGTCTGCAGGGCAGATCAGAGCCAGGGAGAAAGGGAATGAGGTAAGGCTTCTGGTATTGGAGAAAAAGCCCTCTGTGCTTTTTATGGCAGAGGAGAATGTGCCAGCCTATGGGGTTTTGCACTGATAAAGGGCTCTAGTCTAAAGTGCTCAAGTGAGTTCTCCAGCTCAAGGTGACAGGAGAGAAAGAGCAGATGTGGACATGGGTGTGCACTGGGGCCTGGCAGAGGCTGCGGTGCTACACCCCCTGGGCCACGCTGACCATACCTGCCAGGACAGCCTGATCACAGCCACAAGCCCCTCGGACAATGACAGCACAGCACTGACAGCTGGGTACCCCCAGAGTCTCAGTGGAACTGAGGATTCTGACCAGGCTTTTGGCCTCCATGGTCATCCCAGAGGCCTTCTTGACATCTCTCCTGGTGAGTCAAGAGACCTCAAGGGAAGACAAACACAAGACTATCTCCAGGTCCTGGGCTTTGTATTTCCTCCATGACATCAAAAAGCCTACAGAGCCCACTCCAGTATTGGTATCATTTATTAACACAAACAGTAAGTGGCTGACCAAGATTTGGACCTGGTCTGGGTTTATTCAGGAGCTCCATGTCCCCTCACTGCCACCTCCTCCCTCTCCATCTATCATCTGTATTGGTGGTTTTCAAACTTTCAGTCAGCAACCCATAGCAGGGAACCCGTTTCACACTGCCATTTACAAATATAAATGGCTGACACAAATACTTCACTCCAATATTTTTTATTCCACTCTCTGCTAGTTCAAAATTTCAGAATGCTGGCTGCAACCCACATAACTGATTTCATGTCTCATAAATGTGTTGTGACTCCCAGGTTTGTTTGTTTGTTTGGCCGCTTGGCTTGGCTTGTGGGATCTTAGTTCCCCAACCAGGGACTGAACCCGGGGCTTTGGCAGTGAGAGTGTACAGTCCTAACCACTGGACTGCCAGGGAATTCCCAGTGACTCCCAGTTTTAAAAATCCTCATCTACATAACTCACATGAATTTACAACCATTCAATACTCAGAAAGAAAGAGCAGGGGAGGAGCAAGAAGAATTGTTTTACACATTTTGCAGATCAGCCAAAAATTCATTGGTGGAACTGATTTTTTTTCCCCCACTGAATTGCAATCTCTGACTTCCTGATCTGCTCATGACATCATTACTTATCATGTCCTTTTCCCTCCTATTAAAACCTCAGAGTTCCTATGAAAGGCTAGCTCAAGCTCGACTGTAAAATCCTCTTCCACTGGGTCCCCAGACACTGAATTTTCACACCATGGGTCCATCTTTGCACAAATCTCAGGGCATCTCCCAATCTGGAGATGTTAACCATCAGTAAACTTGGTTTCTGGACCAGGTGAAGTGGTTTCGGAAATGCCAGACAACTTGGCTAATGGAAGGCATGACAGCAAGGAACAGGGCCCCTGGGTTCAGCTCCCATGTTCTCTCACCTCGTCCGGCACGGTGGGTCATCTGGGAATTGTTACAATTTTCCACTCATTCACTGATATTACATACTGTTCTATGAGAGGATAATTCTAACCCTGAAAACACTGGGGCTGAGACTACACCCCTAAATTCTCAGTCATAATACATGCAAAGCTCCAATGAGGACAACTGGAAGATCGATATGAATCAGGATTTGAGCCACATGGATTAGGAACCAACAAATTCTCAATTCTAGTCACAGCCGTCCTGGTCTACACCATCAAAACCCAAGAAACATGATTATCTGAACAAATCAGACCACGTTTCCTGCTCCTTTCCTCTACCTCCACCAAAGAAATGAAAACCAAGAAAAACTATATTTGCCAGATTATTCCTCTACCCACCACCCCTCATGTTCGAAACAGAGCTAGGGTCACAATGTTAACACTGTTCGGATGGCTCATGTCTGTTTCTCCATCTTTAAAAGGGGATGGCTGCTACTTTCCTAGCATCTAAGCCTTTATTGTAAGTCATCTTGAAGAGTTTCTTAGCTCCTCCACCAATACCACCATCCCCATCAAACCAAGTCAGTTAATTTTGCCAGAATCTTTAATGACACACCTACCAGGGAAGATGATGTAGGAAGAAAGGCCCCAGGACAGTCCACAAGGTACCACAGACAGCCTGAAACCCACGGTGATTCTCTTGTCCATGGCCTTGGCAGTTTCGGGTAGACAGGAGAGAGAAGACCAGGCCTATGGAAGTCAGGCGCCAGCAACAATCGAACATCCACTTACCTGGGGGACAGACACAGTCCGTCGGCGCTTCTCGAACTGTCCGGAGCTTGACTGGTCCCTCCATCTTCTGAACCAGGAAGAAAAGGGGGGAAAAAATAAGGATGAGTTTTGGAGCGGAGAGGGGTAGAAGCGGAAAAACAGCAAAAACCAACATATTTGAAAGATCTACAGTGGTGGTGTTGGTGCTTTCAAGAACAGTTTTTAAAAGGTCATTAAATTCTACAGGCAGTTTTAGAATGGGAGGAGAAACAGAAATAAACATTAAGCAATTACTTGGGAGTCCCTGAATAGAAGATGACAGGTTTCTGCTTTGTTAACAACATTTTCAAATACAAATCCAGGAATGACAAAGGGACCCGGTAGTCCCTGGTGTGAAGATAGGAGGGCAGAGCAGAGGGAGGCCAGGTAGGGCCAATCAAAACTCGCTCTTGAACATCTTTCCCTGCTCCGGAGACCACCCCTATCCAACCCCAGGGAGCCCAAGAGGCCCCTTGGCTGCAGCCCGTCCAAGCCCACTGGCTTCAGACCCAATGGCCCAGGGCTAATCCACCCTGATGACATTTTCCTTTCTTCTTACCAGTGGGGATCCTAGGCCTAGAAAATTTAGTTCAATACAATTTAACAAGAATCTCTACACATGCCCAGCCCTGTGCTAGATTTGGGTGAAGGGAAAAGAACTACCACAAAAATGTAGTCAAAAGTCACAGCTCTGCTATTATGACAACTCACAGTACAGCCCTGGCATAATCATCACCTTATGTGACACTCGGGTAACCTCTGAGGCCTGAATTATTGTCCCTGCCTCACAGACAGGGGATACAAACTTGGAAAAAATAAGAAATTAATCCCAGTGAAGCAATTGGCCCATAATCCCCAAACTAGCCAAGACTTGAGTCCTGACAGGAATATACAAAGTATTAACCTTTCTCTAGGAAAAAACAAAACAAAAACAAAAACCAAAAAATCTTCCTAAAAGCAAAACAAAGCAAATCTCAAATGTGCTAACTTGAGTTAAAAATGCATACTACCACTAAAAGGGTTACTTAAGGTTCAAACCTAAAAATGTAATTTTTCTCAGTAAAAAACATAGTAAAAATGCAAATACAAATACCTGGAAAATAGCACAGCAAACAAACAAAAACGTAATTTTTAAATCACTGTTTTAGAGGAGGTGAGAAGGCACTCCCAGTCTTGAGCCCTTGATCACCAAGCCTGGAATTTTCACATAAGAAGGGGCTGGACAGGGAATTCCCTGGAGATCCAGTGGTTATAACGGACTCTACGCCGAGGGCCTGGGTTCAATCGCTGGGCAGGGAACTAGGATCCCAGAAGCCGTGCGGCACGACCATGAATGAATGAATGAATGAATAAATAAATAAGAAAATAAATAAATAAATAAGAATGGGCTGAACAGCCCAGGACCAGGAGCCTGAAATAAAAAATGTAACCAGGGGAGGCTCTGGCCCCTGCAAAGTACTTCCAAGTTCCACCTCCACTCCAATCTGCCAGCCTTGCCCTCACTTTCCAGATGGGCCACAGAGGCTGGTACTGACAAGAGACAGAGTTAAGGCCAAGGTTTTAGAGAACTGGAAGATGTATGATTTTGAACCCTGTGGTGGAGGTGTTTGTGAAAGCAGTACCACAACAGAACTTTTCTATCCTCCCCACACCTCTTAAACCCCCCCAAGGCCTCGGCTTGTCCCAGAAATCAGAACCTGGCTAGGCCTCTTGGCCCTGGGCTCTCAGCTCCTGTCCAGACCCACACCTGCCACTCACTCCTGCTTAAGCCTGGGGAACTCTTCCCTAGAACCGCCCACCGGGCCCAGAGCCACCCTGCAAGCAGTCCGGCCGGCCCTGAGCCTCCAGAGGTTCCCCCCTCCGCCCCGCAGCTGCCACAGGCTCCTACCAAGTGGGTGAGACCACAGCAGCAGCAGATACCACCTCCACCCCCACCCGACCCCAGGCCATGTGCACTGGAGTCTGGAGCATCCCAGCCATGCCCATCCTCACTGTACTGGAACGCTGCAGTAGGTGCCCGCGATGCAGGTGTGAGCAGGGCCTCAGAACTCACTTTTCCCCCATTATACTTGCAGGTACTATTACAGAGTTCAAAATTCACTTGGAAAAAGAATCCAGCCTTCTAGTTTAAGCCAGTCAATTTGTATGAGAAGCTCTCAGCTGTTTTTATCATTTCTAGAAAGACTAGAAGCTACGCTAATTTCCTTTTTAAAAAAAAATGACAAAAGCATTTAATGCTAAAAAACAATTCGCTTTCAACAAGTGCTATCACATCTGGGCAGCTCCCCTAAGGGGAAGGGGGCTTTATCAAATACTGATAGGAAACACAATTACTTTTAAGCTACTCTTATCTTCAAACAAAAACTAAACAGAAAACTATTCAAGAAAGGAAAAAACGTATTGTTAATGCTAGTAGATGGGATCATAAATAACTGATTGAGTTTTTGTTTCGTTATTTATTCTAACTCCTTTTATGCATTTGTTTTTCTGGATTAGATAGTGAATCTGCAAAGTTTTATCTTAGTCCTCTATCCTCCCCCCCCCCCCCCCCCCAACCCCCACCCCCAACTCTGGAGTTGAAACATCCCTACTAGGAACACAAAGTGAAATGTCTGTATTAGAAACCCAGTCCCGCGAACTTTATTTCCATGCCTTTATTATTTTTTTTAATTCTAAGAAAACATTCTTTTGTGTCCTGGTTTGTAAAAATGATTCAAAAGTCTCAACTTTTTACATTCAATTATCTGGCAGCACCCCTAGCATCTGCAAACAATATGGTCCTGGTTTTACATATGCAAACAAGTCCTGACTCCAAAAGTAAATAAAGAATGAGTTTCTGAGAAATGACCGGAGACTTTGGGAGTGTTCCCTCCAGAAGTACTGAGAAGGAGAACTTGGAGTTGGGGGGGAAAGAGCTGAGAGAAAACTAATCAGAGAAAATCATGGTTTCCAAAAAAGCATTACATGGTCAGATGATAAATTTATCAATGATCTGTTGAAGCATTAGTCTCAAACTCTTCACCAGATATTTGATCACATCCCTGAACAGCTGTATTTTGATGAAATATAGATTAATATACAAAAAAGGATGTAATGTTTTATTTCTGCAAAATGCTACAGATAAAGCCACAAAGACATTCCTATCCTTTGACAGAAAATTCCTACTCTAGGGAGTATATCCCAAGGAAATAAATAAATCATCAGGAGCAAAAAAATGATATTCATGAAGTTGTGCCGCAAAACAGTGGGAGTACTTTAGTGAAGGATGGTGAATCCCCTTCATGAAACTGTCATATCTTCATCAAAAATCATTATGAAGACTATGTAGCAACAAGGAAAAATGTTTATGATACAATAAATAATGTTTACATATGTGTAAAAATGCAGGCTGGGATGGCAGCAACTACCAAAACATCAACCCACTTGGGTGTAGGGATTACAGTGATTTACTTCTTTAAAGTTCTTTCCGTGTTGTAATATCATCTCAGCGAAAAAAAAAAAAATCCTGGGGAGGAGAAAAGCCAAAATGAAGCCCTAAAATCTCCCTGCCTAGGGTAATTTTTGAATGACAGACAGATGATTCTGTCTCCTCAGGAAGCTGTAACTAACTCCAGGATCAACCCTGAAAATACACACAGGCACCACAAACACCATAGGAAGACTTTCGAAGGATCAATCCTGCCCTGCTACAGTCACATCCTCTGCCTTCTTTCCATCCCCCGTAGGGAAGGGCCCATGTGTACATTCTTATGGCCACCAGCAACTCAAGACGGCAGCATTTCCTGGCCTCTTTAATATTCTTTTTTCATATCCCACCATGGTGATGATGAGGATAGCAAATATAAAGTATTATTATCATCAAGTTTATTGATTACTTACTATGTGCCAGGCACTGTGCCAACAGCTGTTATCTTATTGAGTCCTCCCAAGAACTCCCATGAGGCTAGGACTATTTTTTTTTATACTCATTTACAGATGAGAAAATTGAGACTCAGGGCAATGTAAGTGTCAGGACTGGACTTGAATCCTGGTATCAACTAACTTCAACCACAAAGTAAGAGAACCTCTGCTTACCAGCAATTTTAATGTCTAATAAATTAAAGAGTTGCTACAAAAAAAATCCAGGCCATACAAAACTATAGGGACTGAAATTAGGTCAGTGGTTGCCAAAGATTGAGGGAGTAGGAGGAATGAAACACAAGGAGACTCATGGAGGAGCTGTGAGGTGATGGAACTGTTCTGCATGGTACTGGGGTGATGGATATACTCCAAGCATTTGTCAAAAACTATTGGACCATACATCACAAAGAGGAAACTTAAATGGATACAAATTTTAAAAAATAACCAGGATGCTGGAAAATCCCAGGGTGGAATGCAGGCTGAAACAAATTAATATAACTATATTAAGATTACGTGACATAACCTCACTGAAGGTAGTGGGGAAAAACATGTAACTGACCTAAGTCACTTTGCAAAATACTGTTTCAATTGAGAACTGTAGGGCTGAAGACCAAAAGAACTGTCCATAAATGCTATACTCTGGTAGGTACAGTTGTTTCACACAGGCGTACAGGGTAGCAATTTTGAAATTACTATACATATATATTGGGGTTGAACAAGTGAGTAAATAAACTATGGGTAATGAGAGCCTGGTTTCTCACTGTCCAAGAAAGAAGTTATAAATAAGCAAAGGGGGAAGCTGGATTAGTCAGAGACACTACTATGAGGTCATGTTTATGTTATGCACACAGACAGATACATACAGAAATAATTACAGTTATGTGAATATAGAGTGAATAATAACCCAAGCTGCCTGCAGAGAAGACCTACAGCCAATGACACCCTAGTAGCAACAAGCACATTCAGCACCTAGATCTTGGTTTCTAAATACCATTCTCCAATAAAAAGAACCATGACTCCTTGGAGAAATGACTGATTCTAGAGCCAGGGCAGGAAAAATACAAGATAAGCCTAGAGTATCTTGCAGTGCCAGAAAATAAGGAAGTGCTTTAAAAAAGGGGGGCGGTACATCAAAGAAACAAAACCAAA